AAGAGATCTTAATCATGCCCTTGATCTCTGATTTAACATCGCAACGGGGCGTCTTCTATTACTGAACTGGATTTACCAGATAATACTACTCTAGATTCTTTTCTAACAGGACCATAGAACTGGTAGTTAGTGCAATCATCCGGGCATCCTCGACTATGTCCGTGATGCAAAACTGCAAAACATTATGCCTCAGATGTATTCAGGCAATATATATATATATATATATATATATATATATATATATATATATATATATATATATATATATATATATATATATATATATACATATACATATACATATACATATACATATATATATATATATATATATATATATATATATATATATATATATATATATATATATATATATATATATATATATATATATATATATATATATATATATATATATATATATACACAACCTATTCGGAATATCTCTGATATTGTACGATTTGATACATGGTAAGCTTAACCTAGAATGTGCAATGAAAATATAGTTCGATGCACTGGAAATTTTTCTGTCAATCATTGATTAGTAATTAGCCGTGGTTATCCGAATGGAAGTTATCAGCATTATATTCGCAGCATGAACCGTACTACTGCGAATGTCTGGCAGATATTTTCCAAGAGGCAGTCTGTCAGGGAGCTGTTGAAAAAAAACTTCCCATATCTACCAGTGGCGAGCTGATTTTATACATTAGGTCTTAGTTATAACCCATACTGACAAAAGGTTCAAATCGACTGGGCACAATGTTTTTTAGTGAAGTCACTGCAGATGAACCAGGAGGCAATGTTCTTTAATAGCGTCAGTACCTGGTTACGGAGAACCGTATTTATATCAATTGCCACCTTCTAGCCTCTTCGCTCCTAAACGTAAATTTTGTGAAGAATTGCACCCGTTACACCAAGATGAAAGTAAAATACTATGAAACTGTCAGCTGCCAAAAAAGATGCTCCCTCCGGTTCTCCCTTGGCTAATCGCCCTTTCTGTCCATTTGTGCCACAGCATAAACGACCTTACTCCCTATATTGTATTTTGATTTTTTTTCACCCTACATACAAGTTTAACTGTTAAACGCGCATGAACTGCACTAACACCCATGGCCTCCTAATCAAAGATGGGGCAATTGTATCTTGTACAAATATAAGACAAAATGAAAACTTCAAAATTGCTCAACATTCCAAGCTTGAATGTACTCTTCTCTTCAACTTAGTATGTTTGAAATGTATATAGCATATGCAGGTCTATATACAATATTGCACGCATCAGCCAGAAAGCTAAATCTATTTCTCATGGGAGCAATTCCAAAATGTATAGGAACTGTAATCTTAGTAGACATTTGTTTGAGTTTAATACCTTACGAAATTATCGTATAAGATGTGAGTTGCTCCAAATGCATCTATATTCACCGTCACGTTGATAGTCGTCTTTCGTAAATGGTGCAAAATCCAATATGTATGTATGTATGTATGTATGTATGTATGTATGTATGTATGTATGTATGTATGTATGTATGTATGTATGTATGTATGTATGTATGTATGTATGTATGTATGTATGTATGTATGTATGTATGTATGTATGTATGTATGTATGTATGTATGTATGTATGTATGTATGTATGTAGATAGGGAGGGAGGGAGGGAGGGAGGGAGGGAGGTATGTGTGCATGTGTATATGTGTGTATGTATTTGTGTGTATTTGTGTGTGCGACAGATCCTTTGTACTTTTAAGTATATCAGTATATACGAAATCAAAGGAACACACATATTTTACGTGTAATACACTGTATCTTTAATTGCAAATGAATTTATCGATTATTAATTAAATAGGTATTTCCTGACGCAGATTATGTATTTATTTTATTTAACATTTTTGGCAAGCTTGCATTCTTGAGCGGGTGAGTATGCTGAGCTAGTCAGACTAAATCCATTAATAGACTTGGCTCTGTAATATCACTAATAATATTCATAAGCAGACACATCTAATGTGCAACGGAGCACAAGTAAATATCAACATTGCAAACATTCAATTTCAAAATGAAAACCTCGCAGATCCATGATACATTCAGTCTTTTGTATCTTCTTTTTATTAAAGCATAATCGTGATCAGTGTAATTATAGCAGTAAAGACAGTTCTGGTGGAGATGGTGATGGAATAGTAAAACGAAGGAATCAAATGCAACAAGTGCTAAAACGTGCATTTGATACCTATTGCTGTGCAGTACACACAACCCCAGCAAATCTTGTTAGCATTAGTTCTTTCTACCGTTTATTGATGGGTTTAGTTGCTTTCTAAACGTACTCCAGCCCCACACGTTGTAGACATTTTAAAAGAGTCATTTGCAGGGAGGTATGGATGTGTAACATGTAACGGTTGTCGAACAGTGCGGGCATATAATATTTGGCTCAAATTATGAGGTTGAAAATTAGTTTTCAGCTATGGGGGATGTGTTGCTGTATGTAATAAATATGGTCTGACATTAGCCGATCAGACCTTGTTTACGAGCCGTCGTTGCAATAAAGGGCGCATTGATCAATTGTCGAAACTCTTCAATATTAAAATGTCCTCGCTTTGTAAGCTGCGTGAGTAAGCCACCATAAACCGTTATAATACAATTATATTAATTGTATCTCTTTCAAAGGGATCTATTGCAAAATACTTCAAAACCCAGTGTCGGTGCTAGAGTAAAGGAGCGACAGTGGGGTTCTTTTGACCTGTATAAAAGGGTAATTTAACCTTTTCTCAGAGGAATTTACATCTTCCATCGATTTACAAAACGATATGTAATTAACGAACATTAAAAGAAACTAATGAATCAGAGCCAGTCCGTTTACTGCCGGAGTTTCTAGTTAATAAACAATAAATAGGTTTATTGAATTCGGCATCTCGGCCTTTGCATACAATGACAAAGTAAACTGGTTTGATTCATCCGGTTACGGAAAGGTTATCTGCATTAAAATTGTTATTCAAAGGCAACTATTTCCAGAAAATACAATATTATCAAAAATAAGAACGTTTTGGCGCCTCTGAACATACAGCTAATGCACTTGATTTCACAGCAAAAAGGTAGAAACATTTTTTTAATTAAATGTATGGAACTAAACTAGTGCAGTTGCAATGTACACATTTCATATGTAGTAGATAGAGATGAAAAGTTAATAAAATTGCCGGGGAAACTGTTACATAATGAAGTTTCCAGGAGATAATCTCTCTCAGCCTCGCGAGTTTATAAATCAAAGGCCAACTCTTCTAGGAATTATGAATCTGGTTTTGTTTGGTGTCTACGGCACAGAAACACTTGCGGGTTAGTTTCTGCAAAGGCAGTTGCTGTGAAATACCTAGATCGAGTGAATGCCACAAAATGCGGCCCATGTGGATCCAGTAGTATGATTCGAGCCCACCTCCTTCGTTCAAGAGCCCGGCACACTAAACAATTAGATAGCCTGGCGACTCATTTTCAGCTCTTGTGTTTTAATCATGTGGAAGGTAACTAAAATATACACAAATAGCTTCAACTGTGACCGCCTCGGGGATATAACAACAGGAATTGACAGAGAAGTTGCGAATGCACCGAACAATTTTTTTTATTTGCACTTTCCCAGCCCATCCTACGGTCAATCTAATCGAAAAAAAAAACAGTCTCGTTGGTCAGCTATTTTCAGTTAACAAAATGTATGATTTGTTTCTGTAAATTATTGCGCCAATATACATCCAAGGCATATTTCTTTTTGTCTAACATCATAGCCGAGTTGATTCGACTTCTGGACAACATCAGTCCATTAGTCGCCTCGTCCGATATGGAATCAGTTTACAATTATTAGTTTATGCTCAGTTCCCACGAATGTAGTCCAAGTCTATTTTTAGAGTATATTTTCTGTCTCCTTTAGTTGGTGATATAAGAATTATATTTATTCATTCTTGGTAAGGATTTAAAGGTAATTGTTTGTTCTTTAGAATATGAACTTATGGGGTGGCTGTATGTGTGTGTTTCGGCGACACTGTACAGTGAGTAATAAGGTCTTGGTGATGATCCAGAAGTGTAATCTGTTCGATTGCATGTTGCCTTGTTTACAGTCCAGTCTCTCAAATAAATGCCGGTGAACCTATGACAAGAGCTTCACCGTTAAATCATCTCTGAAGGTATTTTAGACTAACATATGATCTGTATTGATTGTCACACAGTGGAAAGATCAATACAGGGAAACAAATGTAGAAAATATAGAGCAAAATTAATTGTATTTTATATCCATATGCAGATTGGCACATCCGGGTTATTTTACATCGCTGAGCCCGCAGGTGAACATGAGTCGTGGAATCACTATTAAAATATTGATCAATCTGTATATTTCAGTGGGTTGTCCCTTTAGTACATAGGCGACTTTCGTGCTTTCGATGGGCCAGAAAAACTAATTACTCGGTCTGTCGGCGATCGCATAAAGTCATAAAATGTTATGATTATATATACATGGCCACCTTATGGTTCTTAGGGAACTACGGATAATAGGAGTGAAGGACCTAAAGATCGTGTATTCGCTTATTAAGCTTTAAAGACCCAGATCTGACATCGAATAATGAACAGGCAGATATAGATATGTGCAAGTTCTTAGCAGTAATAAGCAGAACACACAACAAATACCTAAATCTGCATGTGCATTATGATACTGGATAGCAGGATCTTAGTTGTTGTTTTTTTTTTCTCATTTAGACCCGACTTGTATACGAATATAGATGGTATTTATTACACACTGGGGTTTAATTTGAATCTTTAACGTGGCTTTAAAAAATGTTCAGCCGTATCGCTACGATGTCTGCATTGTGACAGTTTACAGTGATGTATAGTAATTGGATATCATGACGCAGACATGTAGCATGATGTCCCACCGAGTCACATTATCCTGACACCAGGCCGACCTGTCCTAACACCAACCTCTTCATGCTGAGCACCAAGCTAGGCAGCTACTAGTACCATTTTTATAATTCTTTGGTTTGACTTGACCGGGGTCTCAAACCTGCGACCTCCCGCATACGGGGCAGACGCTCTAACCTCTAAGCCACCGGAGTAGTCATTAAACACTGGTATGGAGGGCTTACAGTAGAAACGCTCATTCATATTATATTATATTATATTATATTATATTATATTATATTATATTATATTATATTATATTATATTATATTATATTATATTATATTATATTATATTATATTATATTGTATTGTATTGTATTGTATTGTATTGTATTGTATTGTATTGTATTGTATTGTATTGTATCGTATCGTATCGTATCGTATCGTATCATATCATATCATATCATATCATATCATATCTCATATATCATATCATATCATATCATATCATATCATATCATATCATATCATATCATATCATATCATATCATATCATATCATATCATATCATATCATATTATATTATATTATCACCGAGTATATCATCCCTTCAAATGAACTGATGCACAGAAATATGGGCCTCTGTCACCTTTCTCTTACCCTGATAGCCAAAAGTCAGACCTTTTGAAAGTCATAATCTGCAATTATTGCTTGCGTTTGATAGTCGCTTAACACTATGAAATCCTTCTTGCTTGTAACCTTTGCTTCAAGTAAAAATAGGCTACATGAATACAATTTGATCGTTATTTACATTTTTTTATTTTTGATCATTATACGGCCGCTTGTTTTATGGTTTTGTTTATACTGCGGAGCTATCCCAACAATGAACAAAGGATATATTTCCAAAGAACTACTGGCAAACACAAAAGTACTGGAAGACAAGCTAAAGTATAGTTGTATTCAGTTATGCTAGTTGATATCATCGATGACGCGACATAGCCACTAACACATTCATAATGTCAGGTTAAAACAGAAGAGAGTCCAAACAAACTTACCGTAAAGTTTACTTGCAACAACAACAAGAACAGCAACAACAACAACAACAATAATAAAGATAATAATAATAATAATAATAATAATAATAATAATAATAATAATAATAATAATAATAATAATAGTTTTTGCTTTTTTAATATAAAAACATACACAATTTCATTTAAAAAGTATAACACTAGTCATAATGGACCCATGTGGTCCTCAATATATTTTGCATGTTATTTCATAAGAAATCGACTTACACTCCTGTGTACTCATATATATGTATATGTATATGTATATGTATATGTATATGTATATGTATATGTATATGTATATATATATATATATATATATATATATATATATACGTGTAGGCTAATATAAATGTAACAATGTAACAAAAGAAAAGAGTGAAGCCAACAAGCTTTGTAAAGTTTAACAAAAATAATTTATTTTCCTGGAAAAAAAATGTAAAAAAAGAAAATAGGACTTACAGTTTGTAAAAATAATCTAAAATTTAATCCTACGATTGAAATATAAAAGTCCGATCACTAAATAGTTCTAATTAATCCGGATTTTAATCTGGATAAAGTTCCAATATGGAAACGATGACGTCAGATGATGTCTGTTCTGATGGTAACAGATACTCAATTGAATCACAGTTTATGTAACCGTATATAATTCCAGAATAAATTTTCACTGAATGTCTTTGTCCCAGACTTTGATGAAGAAGCACTTATTTTCTACAGAATATAAATTATTCTTAAATAGCAAATAACTCAAAATATGGCAACAACAGAAAATACCTATGAGCTCCTGAAAGTACTTTTTTTTTACGGCTAAACTAATTTAATACCAGCTGGCTGTTTTAAACCTGATTTTAGATCAAATGGTATTTCACGTGACAAACTACGTGATTTCCAACTTAAACATCGCAATAAAGCAATGTCTCTTGTCACGCATCTTAGAATAGTCCTATATAAAACATCAGACACTCACTGTACAAATGAAATATAAAAAAAAATCAGTTTATACATGGGTAACACGTGGGCCGGAAAATGACCCCTCAAAACAGCCAATCATTTTCACTTAGTGATTACGAGTTTGCGAACCAAGGTCGCATACAATGTTTGCTAATTTATTGTTTTTACTTTCTATTCAAGCATAATTTATTTGAAAAAATATCAAATCCTGTGAAAATAATCATTACAATAAAATGTAATGAAACAAAAATAAATTTTAAAAAATTAAAGCTAAAGCACAATCAATTTAATTACATATATGTAACAACATACATACAAACAAGATGTACATATATGTATATTATATGATCATGGTTCGGTATTTATCGATGTCGTTGATTCTTTCTACATTAATACACGGTAGTGTGTCAGAGCGGGTCAGTGATATATTGTTATGATCATTTTAATATATACAAAATTGGGTGAGCTGTTTAAACAAGGTTATTCTTTATTTTTCACATTACGCTTGCGAATGGCACGTTTTGTTATAGCATTCCTTGCTGTTGCTTTCTACGCATTTATATCTTTTAAAATTAAAATCGCGTCCATTTTTAGTCAGATCACTGGATCGACGTATGACCCTGGCCTTTAATTGCAGCCAAACAACAACTGGAAAGATCTCAGCTTTTGTTGTAACATAAGTGGTGCAATCCGCTAGAGGCGAATCGTTAAACGGATCAAATTGATGTGTTATTGATGTGTGATCAAATTGACGTGTTAAACTACTTCCGAGGTTATTTCACGACTTGACGGAAATGGCCGAGCGATGTTCATATAGCAAATTGATGTGTATGTCAACAACTAGTTAGTTAACGAGGGAACTGACCGAGCTAAGTTCCGATCGGATAACAGATGGGTTCGTTTGGCCATAATTGGTTGAAATGAAAAATACAATTTTAGTAAAACAAAGTTTTTTTCTGCAAATGTATCCTAGTTATAACTGAGAAAAATATTGGATTATGTTTTAATGATGGAATTTTAATGCGTTTACAGACTTGACTTTGGAAAACCTGTAACTAAAATTAGCACATGATTCGATACATTCGGAACTGAAATCACAGGTTTCAAACACACGTAGATCAAACAAATGCCGCTATACATATGGTTTTCTACACACAGAAGCTTGCATCAAGCTTGAGTCTATATTTAGAAATATCACTTTTGATCATGAGCATTTCAGAAATTCAAAGTTACTGAATTTTTAACATCATGGCGTTTCCTTGTGTTTAAAATACGAGCTGAATTAGTACCGTGACGAGTACTGTAAGGGCAAATATGCAAACTCGTTCCAGATAGTGTCCTCGCTTCTCTAAATCGCCCTTACCATCACACATAATAATTATTTCTGGAACTATCTTGTACAAACATATGTTCTCCGATTGTCCCTCTTTTTTCCAGGAAAGTAGTTAAAGCTAAAGGAAATTACGCTTCACATCTAGTGCTGCTCTACTTAATTATCTACTTTTTTCTCGTCAAAAATTATTGCAAAAATGACATCGAAGGTGACTCAAAACGATGTGATCCAAGGGTCCAGCGATTTGTACAAGTACTGCAGTTTTTTTTCCCCAGTGTTATCTGTGGCAGTAGTTTTGGTAAATATGTATTAGTCAATCGTGACATTCTCGGAATCTTTTCGGGAGACGACTATGCTTAAGAAATATGCAGACTTTGAGGTTGTTCCAAATGGTGCATAGATGTTATTAGCGCATGTCAACGTAAACGTTTGGTAATTGGCGAAGACATGCCGCAAGGTAACATGGCACAACTTGAGATAAAATTGTCTTTATTTTATGCTACCAATAAGCAGCTGGTTCTATACATGTAAATATGGCTTATCCTTGGTCTGAGGTTACTGAACTAAACTCCAAGCTTTTTTTACGATACAACAAATATTGTTTGTGTCATTATGTCTAGAAAGAAACGTTACGCCCGTACAAGTAGCTAGACCAATGAAACCGGCAGTGGTATCGTGGAAGCATGTTATTACATCTTCCCAGCAGTACCGTTTTGGAACATCTGATATCACGTAAGGAATAATAAGGAATAATAATAAAAGTCAATATATCAGTTATGTTTAAATGTTGAATCGTCTCTCTGCTTTTGTATTTCTATTTCTTTAACGATTCATAGCTAAAAGCAAAAGAATAACATTTAACATATTCTTTCTTTCTTGCATGATATCGGTCAATTGCACGAATTGCACGATGGAAACGTAAAATAAATCTGTAATTATGCCTAAATTGTGATGTGATGTGATTATGATTTTTAACATAGTTTTAACAATTTTTCAGTCATATCACTACGATGTCTCCAGTGTGACAGTTTATAGTGATGTCAACCACTGGGGCGTCATGCCGCAGACATGTAACATGATGTCCCAGCCAGTCACATTATCCTGACAGCAGGCCGACCAGTCCTAACACTAACCTCTTAATGCTGAGCGTCAAGCGAGGCAGCTGTTAGTACCATTTTTGTAAGTCTTTGGTAAGACTCGACTGAGGATCGAACCACGACCTCCTGCATCCTGCCTAAATTTTGTAAAAAGCGAAACATGAATGAATGTAGGTGATAACTCTGTCACAGACCAAATAAATTAATGAATTAACGGATTAGGGCAAATTGCAGTAAATGGCACCCATGGGAGTAGTGTATATGATTATTCCGTAAACATCCAGCAGATACCTTATATGGTGGTCTATGTTACCTTTAAACAAGGCATTTAGAATTGAGACTGTTGAATGCTTTTGTGTACACCTATACGAAAATCAAATGAATTTTGTTTCTTGTTCACTCCAAAACCAGATCATTCCTACATCCCTTATGAAAGCATAAAGGTCGCGAACAATATCAGGACACCTTTATTCATTTTTCCGCTTATCTTAAATAGCAAATAATTATGTAAACGAAGACAAGGTGGACCTGACACTACACGATTATCAGGAAAATGTATTGACAAGTAGATTGTTATATTACTGTAATCATCGAACCATGGAAATGCTATCGTTATTCCGCGACGGCTGTACCGATAAGATTCAAGACAAACCTTTACTGTCATATTACAGCACCAAATACTATGTATTTTTTTAAACGTACTTATGTACGAAAATAATTATCGCACAGTTCTACAGTTTTGAGAAAAGTTACGGCTGAGAAAAAT